CTTAGTGTTAGCACGTTACAAGTTCCTATGTTCAGAGTCCGTTGACAAGGTCGTTTACCGTTCAATTCCGCTCCTGTTCTGCCCATAGGGCATCGTGCCGAAAGAACGCTACCGCCGGTAGTAAGCCGACCGGTAGACCTGGATGTAGCATGAAAGGGTCCGACGCACCCAGAGACATCGGATTGCCCGGTCCCAGTAGCCAACTTATCAATAGTCACCCTGGGCGCACAGTGACTATCGCAGTCCTGATTATCCTGGGCGACGACTGAGCCAGTATGGAATACCCGAGCCGAACTCATCATGCTGGATTTGGTTCGACTTGGTCACCCTCAACGGAAGCCCCTATAACATGGTTGGACCTGAGGTAGTACGGCCTTCCGCATTACTGGGGTGCATCAAGAGTTAAAAACCGATTTTTAACGCAGTAATTACTTCAAACATTTTCATGACGGATTTTGGCGTTACTTTGACTAACATCAAAATGTTTGTGTCACCAGTTACTTCTTAATTCGAGTCATAGAGGAAAACAAAATATTCATAAAATATACCATTCAAATGTAACATCCTTTTACATCATTACCCAATTCGCCATGTTTCGTATAGATGGAAATCGCTTGACACAGCTCCCATCATTAATCATCAAGAACCTCAAGAAACTAAAGGAATTCGAGTGCGAAGACTGCAGTCTTGGACCAATTCTCTCAAGAGAGCAGTTGGGATTCGCCAGTCCTGCGTTAATGAAGGTAGACCTCCAAAATAACGAAATCTCGAAAGTGGAGCCCGAAGCCATCACAGGTTTGAATATTATCCGTGTTCGTCCTTTCATCCCAGGGAATTATAACTCCCAGGAATTTAAGCATTTCATTAGTTTCTTGGAAATCGGGTCCGTAATTCCATTACTTTGGATATCTTAATTTCCATAATTATTTTAGGTTGAGTAATTTAGACAGGATTTCCTATGAATAAGGGAATTCAGTTGTTCCACACTTTTTCTAGACAATTTTTCAAGTGAAAGCCTTGACGTAACTATCTGGATATTGAAATACTCAGTAAAAATGTGCAAGCCAACATAATACTTTCAAAGCATTCGAAAATCGAATCAAATACTGATTTCGAGAGAAACAAAGCCCCAAGAAGGTGCATTAAGTCCAACATGTATTTTGAATGATTTTCCAGTTCATGCTTTAATTCATATGTATACAATATTCTTGTCATATCCTTTGCATACCGTATGAATTTTGAAGTAGTTTAGAAAATATTCACAAAAATAATTGTGTGTATGATTTAAGAAATGTTTTGCTAAAATATGTATCATAACAATTCAAGTTAGCGACAATTCTGCCTTTCCATATATAATTCTTCATTGTCGAGCTGAGTGCATTACGAGCCATTACTAAATTCTCCCATGCAAAATTAGTTCATGAGACAAGCACCAGAATGAAAAGAACCGCACTTGAGCGTAATGGGATATAGCCGCGGGGACGCATGTTGTATGTCACTGTCGCCACGTATACGCAGGGTAAAGTAAGGGGTCGACGTATAAAATTAGCTGGAAGACCCTGTATTAGTTGATTCAGTACGTCGCAGCAATTAACTCTGAAATTGCTCAACATCCAAATACGGTGACTTAGTCCTCGTTCCAGACAATCAGCTGACGGTCCTGAAATTGGTATATCACTTGAAGAAATGCAAGCTCAAAATAACCGCTTATAATAGAGGGCACGATAGTTTGGATGTCCCTGCGTACGATTAGTTGCTGCGTGGACATATGAAGGACAAACGAAAATTGCAAGATTATTACCTTCAATAACACATCTTCACATGTTCACACTAGGTCATACGCCTGAAACAGAGGTTAATCTCGACGGGAACAAAATCACTACATTAGATGAGAAAACCTTTCGCTCCATGTTGACGAATTCTTCAGGACAAGTCGGGTCCCTGTCCATATCGAGTGAGTTCAATGAGTAAATATGCCAATTTCCTTTATACTTTCACATGTTATTGCATTTCACGCAATGCCCATGTTTCAGACAATCCCATCTGGTGTGATTGCGGCTTGGCATGGCTCACAGGTTCTGAGATCCTTCATGAAAAAATTAAAGGCTCATGCCAAAATGGCACTAAGTTGAATGCGCTTGACAAGGATTACTTCGAAAATCAACGGCCTTGCACATGTTCTCGAAGTTCTGATGATAAGGTGATAGTGGATTGTTCAACAGCTGAGAATGCCTTCGATATCTCATCGGCATTGTTCAAGAAATCATGGCCCTCGGCTCAACTGGGGTAAACTGGACTACTTGGAATTTGAATGCATAGTATTTGTTCTTATACGTTCCTTGTCAAATAAATCAGAGAAATAAGATTATTCGTTAGATGAATCGAGAAAGGGAACGGAGGCAGAACCGGAAAAAAAGTATTGTACCTAATAAGTCGGATAATACTGTAGGATGTCTGAGATGAGTGGGGCGTATCAGTTTTCATCCTGATTGGCTCTTGATTTCTCCTGTGGGAAGAGCGTGCATTTCTTGATAGACGAATTCAGAATCCCTGGCATTCGGCTGACCTGGTCGCCGTGGGAGGAATCGGAGAAGTCCAGGGAACCCGACAGCGTTTGGATGGCGTGTCGCCCCTCGAGAGAGGGTGGCTGGAGTTTCCGGGGGGACAGAGCCTTCCCGCAATGTCCCAATATCGTCGAGAAATTCCTGACGGAGAGGCTGCGTGCCACCGCTCACATCTCGGAGTTCTACGAATACGAGTGCCGGGAAGACGCTGGAATCGATAACCAGACCGGGAACGTGAGCGCTATGTACACGAAGCCTCCCAACGTGGTTTACGGGACCGAACCGGAGTTCATGGAATATCCGCGAGTGGGAGATCTCGTTCTCGATGGAGATTCGATTAACGCCGATGAAGA